AGGTTTCCAGACTCGAGGATGACGGTGTCCTCACCCTCTCTACGGACCTCCGAAAGCCCAAGGATATGCCATTTAATGGACCTCAATTCTACTTCCAGCTCTTCCACATCCTCATCTCGCCTCAAAGTCCGGGTGTTAAACGTGCCAATGGTCAGTTGTTTATGGTGGCCTGCCGACCGGGGATTCTTCGCACCCCCTGTAGCGGTTGATGTTGTAAAATAGAAGAAATCCTGCAACAGTGTAAATAACACTAATGGCCAATGTAAGTTTGTGTATATATATAACTTACCAAAATCAACCAGTTCATAAGATTCAAAAGTTGACACACAGTCAATGAATAATTCAGCTGCATGACTGTAATCTCTAACAGCAAGGCAATATATAGCTTCATATGCTTTTAGCTTGTTCCTTGAACGCCAATCTCCACCTTTATCAACTAACTCGTGAGCCTGTAAAAGTGGACGGACATTAAGACATTAATAAATTTTCAAATAATTTCTTTATCTGACTAAATCAATCAAGTTGTACCTTATTGATAGCTTTTCCCATTTCCTTCACGTTACATCCATGGAAATAAGCAATTCTGAACAAAGCAAATATAGCATCGAGCCTCCTGTTTGTAGTCAATGTTGAATCTTCATATTTAGATGTTGCCAATGCAGTAGCTGTTTCTTTGTCTCCAACTGAACACAAGTAATCAAGCCTAGAAATGCATAATTATTTGTTTTTAACCAAAAAATTTATTTTTAATACTTTTATTACATTATGATTTAATTGAGTAATTAAATTTGTATTTTTTTTAGGAATTCCAAAAACAGCAGAAATCAGATGTAATTTATTTCTACTTTATGTCAGATATATTATTCATACTTATTCACAACTTATAGATCTATCTACCTACTTAAAGATATCGCCACTTCAGAATTAAGTGGCTTAATCCAAAATTCTTGTTTTTTTGATTAACTCCAAAAATTTAATTGAATAATTGTATTTGTTTATTTTTACGAAATTTAATACTTGAAGGTATGCGCTTGATTTAACAGAGACGGAAAGAGTTGTTCTTTTTATTCTGTTTAATTTAATATTTATTTGATTATAATAAGAGACTACTTAATTTAATAAGCTGATGGGATACACTTATATAAGTCATTCCAAGTATAAAACTCATTTTTTTTAAATGATCAGTAAGCCACTTCAATTCTAGACATGCAATATTTTAGAAGTAAATTATGTATAATCTTTATGCTCTCTTTCTAACTATTCTCTTAGCTGCACACCAGATAAATCTAAATTCAATATTGAAACAAGATATTAATTATTATTTTCCCCTATATATTTCTTTACGTGGGAGGACCTAGAACAGACTGCCCAAGACTGATGTAAATGGAAAAATTTGATTTGAGCCCTACATCCCAGCAGAGGGTAATAGGAAAGAATGATGGTGATGATATATTTCTTTGGTTTTAAATTTTATAAATTTTATTACTTTATTTATTTACAGGCATATTTGCCTTTTTTTAACCATGAATATGGTGCCCCATTTAACTAAGGGACTAGTCTCATAGCTGAAACAATAATAAACTCATATCATAGCATATAAAGAAATCAATAATATTAATCCTTAAATTTAAAAATGAACAGGTTATTTTAATTTGTTTTGATAATTCTCAATTAAAAATAAGGAATTAATGCTCTCATGCTCCTTAGAGATCATATAAAACATGCTAATATTTTATGTTCTGGTTAATGCAATACAAAAAACATTTGTCTCTTTTCATGATATTTAATTTACTGTGTCAAATATCAAATATCATCTGCCAATGATCTGACTGACCCACATCTGTAAAATCTACAACCAGTCACAAAATTTTGTACAATCTGTAGGTCTAGAGAGGTATAGTAGGTATATGCATTCCACAAAAACAAAAAATTTGCCCTGAGTACAAATGAGTACAAAACATACTCGGCAAATAGTTATATGCAATATAATTTATAACTACAAGTGCTATTTAATACTTAACACAACCTGGGCACTTTTACTAGCAGTAAATATTAATAGCAATCAGCGTGCACACTATCATGTAATTATTTCCTTAATCGTTAGAAGGAAAGGCTTGATAGAGAGAATAGATTACTACAGACCTATCTTGCCAAACGGGTGTTTCAGAGTCGTCTTCTTCAAATTTAGATAGCCTGTCTTGATTTTCTTTTGTCATGTCATCATACAACTTCTGGTCAAAGGCCCAGCCAAGGTCATTGCATACCTCTTTATAATAAGGAGCCATGTGTCCAGCCTTTATTCCATTCAATAACTGCTCCTTTAACTGAATATTATCTTTGAATTCAGGTAAACTGAGTTTGAATTTGATTCCGGCCAATGCCATGTATTCAGGTGTTTTTCCCTCCGCTGATAGCTCCATTTTCAATTGATTGTAATGCTTCTATTTATCAACGTTAATAAAGTTTGTTTAGAAGTAAATTTTCAACAAATAATATCACTTCTGACTGAACAAACTAAGAATAAAATTATGAGGTTAAAATACAAGTCACTGCTACAGACTATATACTACCATAGACCTTTATAGGTTTCATACTTCAGTGTATACTGCAGATCATTTAGCATAGTATGCCCTAATATTTAATATGTAGTGGATATTCGATTATATGTATAATACCGGTCACTCACATGCGCACGAATACGCAAACCCGCAAATGTGGGACGACATTTGCAAATGATTATGCAAAGTTTTCGCTACATTCGTGGTTTTCCAAGCTGTGTCGGTTTTTCAACAGACATCAAAGCGCGCGAACCGCGAACCTTCGCGTAGTCTCACACACATTCGTTTGCCCAGTTGTGCCGACGATTGCGAAGGTAACGGACGTATCGCCATTTTCATAGTTCGTGACGTCTACTGTGTAGCGTATCTTCATCAAAAGAAATCCCATAAAAACAGCATGGCTGTTAATGATGTCTGCTAAAGAATTCAAAACTCTTTTTGGAGTTTACTCCTTTAGAATCGATTTACATATATAGGCCCGGGGTATGAAAATTATGGGGACCAAAATCGTACTAGCATGTCACACGAAATGCGTTATGCGCCTGCACCGGCAGTCCGCCACAAAGCCTCGTACTGATCGCGCGTTTCTCTCATTATTGTATCTAATATATAAAATTCTCGTGTCACAGTTTTCGTTGCCATACTCCTCCGAAACGGCTTGACCGATTTTGATGAAATTTTTTGTGCTTATCCAGTATCTATGAGAATCGGCCAACATCTATTTTTCATCCCCCTAAATGTTAGGGGTAGTCCACCCCTAAATTTATTTATTTATTTTTTAGACAAAATTTTTTATTTCTATTTTTTTATGATACAACATACAAAAATACATACAATCCTCAATTTTCACCCTTTTACGATCAACCCTTATTTTTTATTTGCTAATTAAAAACTAAATTTTTTTGCAAGAATTTTGTTTTTATTTTGTCATGACTTAGAATAAAAAAAATATATATTACTCTCGATTTTCACTCTTATACGATCAACCCCTATTTTTCCATCCCGATTTTTATTTTTTTTATTCTATGCACAGATCCGCAATAAGGTTGCAAGATGGCAATCAAATATTATAATTGTAGTACGATAAATTCTTATTCAGAGTTTATAATTTCAAGTTCCTTTAATTATGATTTTTTTNTCTTATTCAGAGTTTATAATTTCAAGTTCCTTTAATTATGATTTTTTTTTAAATTCAATCGATCAGTTATCTCCGCCAGGTGTCGCCACTCATCCAGCAAACATCACGTAGTAGGGATGAGGACGAAGCCGGTCTCCTGTCTTACTCACTATACATTTTTCAGCCATGTTTCTTTGGTTTTATTTGTGTATCAATCGTAGTTTGCCAGCCATGTTTTTTTGGTTTTATTTGTGTTTTATGTTTATATGTGTATTGTGTATTGTGGTATCAATAGTATGTTCAGTAGGTCTGAGAATCGGCTACTATCTATATTTCATACCCCTAAGTAATAAGGGCTGTCCACCCCAAACATTTTTTCTTTTTTCTTTTTTTTCTTTGTTATAATGAGGTATAGTCCCCGGCACGTAACTTGGCAAGAGTCGCTAGATGCGCAGAAGTCGTTTTTTAGGTCTCTTTGGTTATCAAGCGGGACGCGGGGAAAGACGTAGCACCGTTCCAAAACGCGCGATTGGTAAGTCAGTCGACCCTCCCCTCCCGCACCGCGTCCACGTTCCGTTCGCTCCCGGTTACACATGCGCCTACTAAAGTTGTAGGAACCCTTTGTTTATATTGAGTTTTTGTTACGAGTGGTTATTATTGTTTTAAATTTAGTTTTTGTTAAGAGTGTTATTGTTTTAAATTTGCTTGCAAATACCAATGACCATAATTATAGTCGATTCAGTCACTGAGCGTTTTATTATTTACGCCAGTGACGACAGCGACTCTTCGTTATATCGACGATGAGGAGCCAACTCCTTCCACCAGCTCAGGTGCTACCATAAATTTAATCCAAGGGGTAACACTATTAGAAAATGATAGTGACGACGGCGACACATAATTTTTAATATTAAGTATATTTTTTTAAATATTTTTTTTAACATTTAATTGTATTTTATTTATAACACCTAATACACTTCACGAATTCCTCTCTTTTCTTTAACTTTCTTTTAAACACACAGGCTTAAAAATAAATTATGGCAAATAAAAAATTTAATAAAATAAAATAAACATATATGCGGACAATAAAAGTGACCATTTTTTTGTTGCAATGTACACTATGCGCGACATTACCCCCACTACACCAAAACCTTGCCAACTTACGTGCCGCTTACTATATTATGTGGTTGAATGAGGTTTTTGAGAATTTTATATATTAGACTAGAATTTCCCTAGAAATCTTATTTAAGGCAACACAACGTTTGCCGGGTCAGCTAGTTTTCATATATTTGTTAGTCGTTTGTTTTGTGTCTCGTTAATTTGTTAATAATCTGTAGTGTATCGTGTTGTCGTAATATAGAACTATTTCTCGTATTGTTTCGTTTAATTTTTTATATCCAGTAAACTCCAGTCGTGCGTCGGAGCGGACACACACACTTTTTTTTTCTCTTCAATGTTCTATTGACGAATTAAAAATGAGGAGAAATTCGTGAGACATTCGTAAACAAGTGTAGGAGGAACGCAAACGGGTTCGCAAATTGAGTATGCGAACCCATTTGCACAGCTGCTAAGTTTGCGAATGAATGTTCGACAGCCCTTCACATGCGCGCAAACATTCGTACATGTACGAATATTTGCGCGCATGTCAGTGGCCGGCATAACATATAATACACTCGGCGTCACAAAATCGCACCTTTTAAAAAAGCAACTATAAAATACTTTTACTCAAACTTTGCCAATAGTAAGGGTATGGTTGTAGGATAGCATCGGAATTGTAATTTAATTGCCTATTAAAAAATAAAAACCTGTGTACATGTTTTTTAATATTTTTATAAAAAAATAATTAAAAAGGGACAAAGATTACAAATAAGTCCTTAAAATCTAGTGTTTCCTCCCCTTGCTTTGATGACAGCTTCCATCCGATCCTTCATGGATATCACGAGGGTCACTACTCTCTCTTGGGGTATGTTCTCCCATTCTCCCGTCACGGCATCCTGGAGCTCTTTGAGAGTGGTGGGAGCAGGATGTCGTGCTCATACGTGTCTCTTTAGATCGTCCCAGAAATGCTCGATCGGGTTCAGGTCTGAGCTTCGTGCTGGCCACTGCATAGCAGGGACCTCAACCTCTCCCAAGTAGTCCCGCACATCAAACGCAGTGTGGCAACGGGCGTTATCATGCACTAATATGAACACATCGCCAACTAAACCGGCATACGGGACCACGTGGTCTTGTAAGATCTCCCTTGTGTACCGCCCAGCATTCAGCGATCCTTGCCCGCGACCACCGCCAGTACGAGAAACGCACACAAGCTCCGTTTTCCCTTTGACGGATATGCCACCCTAGAACATACAGGAACCACCTCCGTATTTGACCGATTCCTCTATACAAGCCTGGGTAAAACGCTCTCCTCTTCTTCGGTATACTTTTCTGCGTCTTTCGTTGCAGAATAGACATACTCGTGTCTCATCGGTGAATAGAACGGCCCTCCACTGATCAAGCGTCCAGCTGGGATGCTCCTGAGCAAATTGCAACCGCTCTCTTCGATGCTGCACGGTCAATTTTGGACCCCTAGCAGGTCTATAAGCTCTTCATTCCTTTTTTTTCAATCTTCTTCTAATCGTAGAGACACTCACAGACGTTCTGCGAGCTGATCAGAGCTCTTGTTGCATTTCTGAAGCGGCAGCATTTCTGAAGCGGTGACGCAACGAAACGAAACAAAACGACGTGGACACAACGAAGCGGTCCAACTATTTCCGATGTGCAGCGTTTTCTTCCGGATCCACGTCTTCGAGTATAGCCACCAGTCTCACAGAACCGTTGGTAAACTCGTCGAACTGAGAATCTCTAAGGTTCAACTGTCGAGTAACGTCAACTTGTCGCAGTCCTGTTTGCAATAGCGCAATGATTTGAGCGGCTTCTTCAGGGGTTGTATCCATCTTCAGGTATTGTTCTTTTGAGTATGTTGTTCCGGTGGGTTCACTCTAAAGTCTGAGTAGAGACTGACCAATTTTTTACCTGGGAATGACCTTTTATACCCTTTTAAGGTAGCTCAACTAGCGCTCCTTGAGTGAGCATTTTTTCCAACATCTTATTGATTGGTCCCTGGTTAGAAACGGTAATTGTTTTTTTAATGATACATGTAATTAATGTAAAGGTATTGAAGTGCACTTTACAATGATATATTTTTATCACACATGGTAAAACACACGTTTTAAAACCAACTAATTCGAAGGGAACAGAAAATATTATTAAAATAATGAAAATAAATATCCCCGATTTTATTTCAATAAATGTAAAAATGCATTATTTTGCCTTGATTAGAATCTTTAGTTGAATCAAGAAGGTTCAAACATTAAAAAGTAATGTATTTAAAAATTCCCACTAGCGTCTTTGACATGTAAAAAGTGCAATACAAAGAAGTCCTTAAACTGATAGTAATATGTACTTATTTTCATTGCTCAGTATCTAAACATGTAGGTTATCTCACTTACTCTTAGCGCATGCAGTATTGCTATGAATGTGATAGACTGATATCCGCGAAACACGTACGGCGTATACCAGTATATTTTCGAGTGATAGATACAACCCGACCGATGTGAGTTAGCTAAGTACATGGACTACATAACTCTATGGGTAAGTATTATGAATAAAGTGAATACGGAATATTAGCTTATCAGAATTCGACGGATTACCGATACACGAATACAAGCTGTATTACGAATATCATAATGAATACTAATATATCGGTCTCACCCTTAATCATAGGTGATAATAAGGCCGACCACAAATAATTTCACAAAATATTTAAAACATAAATCCACAATTTAAAAAAAAAAAATTCGTATTCGACATTTTTATCCCGTTTTTCCCATTACATTAGAAAGTGTAATTCTTCCATTCTACAATTATTACGATCATGGAAACTAGGGGAAGACTTAGAATCTGAAGATGACAATCAAACCGATAAGTTTTCAAACCATTATACAGAAAACTATTGTGAGCTAAATAGTAGTACGCCATATCATCACGACATGAAGTTAGTATAAAAAAACTAAACTCTGTTGCTAAGTGGCTAAATCACTGTTACATTTTTTTGTATTGTTTTCCTTTACTGTACTTTGCACGGTTGTAGTATATTTCTTGCTAAGTGTTGACCATAGATTATACACTTAATATATTGTGTTGACTCGATTTGTTTTAACATCATTCGAAGTGTCTTTAATTTAGAATAGAATAAAATAGGAAATGGAAATGATATGAACATTGCAGTTTTAAGCAGAGTAAAGTGTGCTCGTTTGAGAATTAAATATTTTCGTGACGCTTAGTTACAAATATGCAGTACCTATTTAAAATCTCAATTATTGTTATTTTAATTTACATAAGAACTGTTTTTTTTCTTTTGAATTTATTATCTTAGGTGGTCTAATCGTTTATGGTACTGTTTTTTAAATGTTTCCACTGGCTACTATTATAGCGCGACCTTAATTTCCGCGGACACTTTTTAATACACTGAGATTGTCTTCCTTACTTTTACCCTCCTTAATTGAAATGAACATATGCTGGCCATGATGGCCATGGATAATCCATATAATAGGTTTGGGGAAAAAGTCTTTTCGCATTATAGTTTGTACGAACTTGTAATAAAATTTCTTTGGCTATACTATTTGTATCTGGCTGGTTTTGGTATCATTAAAAGTTTAAATTTTAAAGAAGATAATTCCAAATTCAAATTAGGAAAATGTGTGATTTTTATTTATTTTTCGTACTGTCAAGATGAGTGAATCTAATGAAGAAATTCGATACATTTTAAAATTTTACTACAAAAAAGGTAAAAATGCAACGCCAGCCGGGAAAAAAATTTGCGATGTTTATGGACCTAGTGCAGTGTCTGTGAGAGTAGCACAAATTTGGTTTAAGCGTTTTCAATCCGGAAATTTTAATGTTAAAGATGCACGTCGCTCTGGTCGCCCTATTACGGATAAAATAGATGCCATTTTTTTAAAAGTGTAGCAAGATCGGTATATCAGTAGTTACGACGTACCTGAAGAACTCAGTGGGTCGCGTTTCCGATCCGGTGGTAGATTCTGCGAAGCACGGCTCTTGCTAGAGTTCGTGTTAGCAACGTCATCAGGTTTGAGCACCGTGAGCTCACCTACTAGCCACGGTTACGCTGAAATAGCCTCTAAGGCTATCAGCTTAGGTAGGGAAAAAAAAAAAAAAGGGAATTGACCACAAAACAGTTTTGGTGTATTTGAAAAAACTGAGTACACAAAAAAGCTCGATATGAACCGTGTACTCATTTGTGATTCTTTATTACGACGTAATGAAACCGAACCATTTTTGAAGAAGCTGATAACTGGTGATGAAAAGTGGATCACTAACGACAAGAACGTGTGAAAAAAGTCGTGGTCAAAGGCCGGTCAGGCTTTACAGACTGTGGCGAAGCCTGGGTTAGCTCGCAACAAGGTGATCTTGTGTGTGTGGTGGGATTGGAAGGGCATTATTCATCATGAGCTGTTACTACTAGGCAGGACCATAGATTCTGAACTCTACTGCGAACAACTGATGAGATTAAAGCAAGAAGTTTAGAGAAAGCGGCCGGAATTAATCAACAGAAGGGGTGTGGTTTTTCATCATGATAACGCTAGGACCTCACACATCTTTAGCCACTTAGCAAAAATTAAGAACTTGACTGGGAGGTGTTAATGCATCCACCGTATAGTCCTGACCTTGCACCTTCAGATTTCCACCTGTTTCGGTCTCTTCAGAATGCTTTAGGCAGTGTCAGGTTAACATCACGAGAGGACTGCCAAAACCAATTGTTGCGATATTTTGCTCAGAAGCCCCAAATTTCTATAGCAATGGGATTATGTTCCTACCTACAAGAACAGATAAAGTTATCGAACAAAATGGTACCTACATATTTTAGTTAAATGTAAATAAACTATATATAAAAAGTTGTGAATTTTCTTAAAAAATGTGAAGAGCCTTTCTCTCCAACCTATTATAATATTAGATAAATAATCTGAAATATTATTATTATTATTATGTTTAGAAGATGGGCTAAAACATAGATCCAAGCCAGAAAAATTTTTTAAACAAAAAAAACAGAGCAACATGTAGCCGTCAATCAATTCAACTGTCAAATTGTTAATTCAATACCTACCGTATCATTTCCTGTGAATTGTGATCATTTTATTTCTTACTTCTTTGACCAAAGCAAAGGAACTCCTCTGTTTTTTGATCAATGGATCATTTCTTTACAATAATATAGATATAATAATTGTCAAAACCACTGAGTTTCGCACTGTTTAGGATATTAACTTAATGTAGACATGTCATGTAATAGGACAAGTTTCACATGATTTTATTAATAACTTAATCACAAAGAATATCGATGAAGTTTCTTTTAAAACTACACAGATAAACGTAAATCATAATACTTCAACATGGAAAAGGACAGTCCGATTCAATTAGCTTCAGCAAACCAATCAGTTAAAATAGTACCCTCGATTGAAGAGTCTCTGCAGTCTATGGGTCTAAACATTGCTTTAGATGAACGCAGTATACTTTGGTGGCAGCAGTTACAAACCACTTGGAAGACCTGGAAAAAGAGTGAAACTGTAGAACAACTCATTGAAACATACTTTCAATCAATACGAGATCCCTTCAGAGTGACACTGATATTTATAACGCAATGCATAACTCAAGACTGTAAACCCAAAACACTACCTTATTTTGTTGTAGAAACATTACAAAAGTGGTCAAAAAATCAGGAGCTATCACCTGAAGAATCTATAAAATCACCAGCTTTCTACATTGCAATTCAGCAAAGAAATCCAAGTTTTCTAAATCTTATTGCTCATACGTATCAACTCTCTACCATAAAGCAAGTCATTCTTCCAAAAATTAAAGAAATGATAAAAAATGACAATTGCAAACTTGCTTCACAAATTGTTATGGCATTGGATTTATATGAAGATATTCCAGTTGAAGATTTATTATTTCCATTAATATTACAAGACAAGAATAATATTATTGACGAGTATCTAACAACATGTCCAAGCCAAGTTAAACCTTTGTTATTTTTCCTGGATAATTTACTAAACAAGTCATTCAAATTGCGTGATTATATTCAAAGTTATTTAGAAAATAACCAAATAAGTCAAATTAGATATGAAAAATTACATCATAAACCACTTGGTAAGTTGGTTGCGAGACTTTGTAGTAAATTTAACATACCCATAGAGACATGTAAGAACCTAAGCAAAAATAGAACAGCTGGGGGACTTCGATACTTAATTCATCAAAAATACACAGAAAATAACATAAGTTCTACAGTGTGGGATGACTTGGTCAAAGATTCACTAAGGCAAAATGTAGAAGCAGCTAATGAATTCATTGAAATGTTGTCAAAATATGATAAGAATGAAGCCTTGAAATGGATTGACTACTTAAATATTGGAAACGAAGAATTACCCACTTCTTTAAAGGCTATTTCTCTAGAATATAACAATGACGAGTCACATGATATTGAAAATTGGGATACAGAGTCGAGTAAAATAATCCCTAGTCAAGAGTACTATAAATTTACTCTCACTAGAGACTGTATTATTATAATTGATAATGGTGAAAAGTTTTATGATATGTTGAACAGCATAAAGATGTACAATGTTGTTAGTATAGATTGTGAATGGAAACCATCATTTGGAGCGGTACAATCACAAGTGGCCTTAATCCAAATTGCTACTTTCCATAATGTTTACTTGATAGATACATTAATTTTAAACAAACAAGAATATTCCAGTTTTTGGTACACTTTCAATAAATCATTTATGGAAAACGGCGAGGTTATCAAACTAGGACTTGGGCTTGAACAGGATTTAAAAGAAATGAAAGCATCTATAAATGGTTTGGGAAAAATAAATGTCAAAGGTGAAGGATTATTAGATTTGTCATTGTTATGGAAAAATATTATCAATAATGGTCTTGTTATACCAGGATGCTGTGACAGTATAGGAAATGGCCTAAGTTCTATTGTGCAATCATGTTTTGGATTGCCCTTGGAGAAATCAGAGCAATGTTCAAATTGGGAATTACGACCCTTAAGGGAGACCCAAATAATATATGCTGCTCTAGATGCACATGTTCTACTACAAGTTTATGATTTTTTACAAAAAATGTGTGTTCAACAAAATATTAATTTTGAAGATATTGTAAATGAAACAATGCACGAAACAAAAAAAAAGCTTCCTAAGAAAACAAAGGTGATTGATAGGCTACAATTTAATTTGTGTTCTATTGAACCCAAATTTGTTAATGATGTTAAATTTCTTGTTGAGCCGACCTTATCACACTTAATGGCATACTTGAGATATTGTGGATTGGATACCATTGTAGTGCCTGGAAGCTTGCAGTGGCATGATGTTGTAAACTGGGCGATATCAGATGATCGTCTAGTTCTAGTAGATAAACTTAAATGTTCACCAACACAAGATTTTCCTCAGAACTCTATATTAAATGTTGGAAATGACACAATTGTAAAACAATTACAAAAAATATTTGAAAATTTCAATATTAAAATTAGACAAACTGATCTTTTGAGATTATGTGTGAAATGCAATAGTAATGACATCAAGAAACTAAGTTTGAATGAGATAAAAAAAATATGTGATGAGTACATTAATTTAATTCCTAAAAGTACACTCGTTAACACATACTTGGCAGATTTTGATGATGAAGATGCAAGTTATGAGAATTTTCTTAGTGATTCAGATGGTGATGGTGACATTTTGCAGCCAGTTCAAAATAGTTATTGCCCAAAACCAAAAAGCTGTTTAACTAGTAAAGGGGCTGCAATCGAAATTTCCAATCCACAAGGCTTAGTCCAAAAAAATAAACCAGCAGTTCTGTGTGAATACTGTGGTCAAATGTATTGGGATGAAGATGACTTGTTTAAATCAATCAGTGATATAATTTGTCAAATCACAAATTTTACAGTCTGGTAGTTAAGGTACTGCATTGTTGCAATATTTTACCTCTGAATTTACAATAAACAAAAGAAAATAAGACTATGACGCCAACATCAAACAGTACTGGTAGAAATAGCATTAGAGTACTAATTATACTGCATTCCGCAAAGCTGAGAAAACAGACTGTTGTTTTTATAAACTTAAGAGATCATTTATAATTGAACTAAATGTTATGGATGTTCAGCAATAATTAGTATTAAATAAAAAATTGTTTAAATTAAGTAATATGAAAAAACTTAGCATATTTTTGTACTTAAAACCTGAATATATTATTTAATTACTTACTTGGTTTACAATAAACTATTATATATCATTGTTAAACTGAAAATATAAATTGTAAGTCCTAAGTTGTTATAAGAAAGACATAAGGGGTTAATATCATTTAAAAAACACGTGTGGCACCCGGGACTGCCGCGGTAAAGCTATTGCATAGTATTTTTTATCAACTTAAGCAATTATAATTTGACAATAATAATTTAATATTAAAACAATAATAAAATAAGACCACGCAATATTTATAACTGTCCCCTTCACACTCATAAGCTAGACCGCGCGAGAGAGAGATGGACAGACTTTTCATGATGCGCATGCAGTGCGACGTCACGCCGTGCGCTTATTCACAAACACTACACAAGGCGAACGTGCGAATGTGTTGAACGCGAGCTACATGGTAGGCTGAGTGTTAGGTTTTATTTTCGTTACTGAATTTCTTGATTCGGTCTCCGCGCTCAAAGCCCGCGATAAAAGCTATGCAATAGCTTAACAGAATCTCATAAACTCATAGTGGAGGACCACAATTTAACAAAGTTTAAGTCCCCAGGGGTAATACTGAGTACAAAACAAAAAAAAACACTGATGCAAAATATATATATATTTCTTTGTAACTAATACATCGTTTATTCTTTAGTATTTAATATTGAAATTATACTTTTTTGTAAATAATTCTATTTCGTTTCTATCCAACTTTTCATTACCCAGCAAATTCAATTCTACCAGATCCAAATCTGGAAAATTCTTCATTGTTGTCAAGTTATTGTTCTCCAATGATAATTTCTGAAAGAAGAAGATCAGTTAATAAACTTTGTGTTTTAGTTGAGTTACGTGAGTCTTAGCCGTGTTTACCTTCAATAGCAAGCAAAAGGTCTTGAGAAGCGATTGAAACATTTACCTTGCAATGTTGCAGAACTATTAAAGAAGGAAATATATTAGAAGTCAGTTGTTGATTGGATAAATCTACGCTATCACAGTAACTGTAGTATTGTAGATAAGGTAGGCTTGATACAGGACTAGGGAATGAAAACTTTAATGCAAGATCTGCGTTTTCGTAGTCTGAACACAATTGTTTTTCAATGCACCATTTTGCTATAAGATCATCATAGTAGCCAGCTCGTAATTTATCAATGACTTTTAGTTTTTGTAAATTTTGTATTGACTCAGTGTGGTATGCTTTGGCATCTATACAATGTAGGAAAATTGTGGTTGTTAGCATTGTCCCTGAAACAAGTATGAAAGTATCGGCAGATTGCCATTAATCAAGAGAATAATAATAATAATATTTATACTTTTATGTCATAACGCTTACTTACATTTGCTGTCAGGTTCCAAATTCAACAGTTGTCTACAAGACTCTAGTTGGTCCTTTAACTCTTCTATAACAGCCTCCGAATAATTTCGCTCAAATTTAATTTGATTTTTACCAATATAAAACATTTCTTTACACTCAACGCCTTGTATTATTTGTTTTTGTCCATTATCTATTTCATATTCAACCTGGAAAACCAACCAGAGGTCGTGGATAAGACGTCGGTGCGTCGTATCGCATTCTATCTAACGATGCAACGATGTTCGAATCCCGCAGGCAAGTAAGTACCAATTTTTCTAATGAAATACGTACACTTAACAAATGTTCACGATTGACTTACACGGAGAAAGAAAAAAAAAATTGCGTAATTACTGGTGGTAGGACGTCTTGTGAGTCCGCACGGATAGGTACCACCGCCCTGCCTATTTCTGCCGTGAAGCAGTAATGCGTTTCGGTTTGAAGGGTGGAGCAGCCGTTTGACTGTAAAAACTGAAGCCTTTGTATTTCAAGGTAGGTGGCCGCATTTACGTTGTAGATGTCTTTGGGCTCGTGTCGGTGACTACTTACTTAACACCAGGTGGCCCGTGAGCTCGTCCTCTCACCTAAGCAATAAAAATAAAAATTAAACATTTAACTGTGCCTATCCAAAAACTGGAGCAATATTTTATGTTGCTGAACTTATATACCTTGATATTTATTTTTTTCGTTATTGGTGTTGAGTGTTGAAAAACCCACAAGACATCATAACAATTTCCTGTACACGAAACCCATTCGCCATTTACAACACAATTATTGATTAATAATTTAGTTTTTGCACTAACATAATTCTTGTCTACGTGTTTGCTGAATGCAAATGTAGTTTTTGTTGGTGTAACTGTGTAATTTACTAGATCGATTGTGGTTTTAACTGCACCTGAAAATCGACATAGTTATTGTGATTTTGGTAAAAAAAATATGATAATTTTTTTAACAAAGATTTTGATAGGTATTTTTTTTAATCAAAATAACTTAATGTTCCGTACCTAACAACCATCTTTGATAAAACCAAGCACTTGTGTCATCAGGATCAGTGAATGCAGCATTTTGAACCATTTTTAATTCATGTTTGTGATGACTATCTTCAATTGGCCTTCCACCTGGTAAATTATTTCATATAATTATTAGTTTTAATTATTATTTGCGTACATTGGCAGATACACGTGGTAGCCCACTTAATGTTGTTTAAGTGTTTACTGATGTCCGTGCAAATCAAGTTAGATTTGAGATCATAATTTTAAGTATATTGGGTAAGAGCCACCTCATTCTTCAAATCTGATTTACATACATGATTACTTCATTACAAAATTAAATATGATTATATTTTGAATCTGATGAAACTTACGTATAATTAATCACTAAAAGTAAAATTACACTAAAGACAACAAATTTAAAATCTAATATATAAAATTCTCGTGTCACAATGTTCGTTCCCATACTCCTCCGAAACCGCTTGACCGATTCTCATGAATTTTTTTATGCATATTCAGTAAGCCTGAGAATCGGCTACTATCTATTTTTCATACCCCAAGTGATTAGGGTTGTCCACCCCTAACATATTTTTTTGTTATAATGAGGTATTATGTGGTTGAATGAGGTTTTGTTATTTTTATTATATATTCCCTCATCGTTCACAGCACTACATACCTCTTTCACTCATTTACCACAACCTTACACACTTACAATAAAGTTTTTTTTCTACACTAGAAATTCCCTAGAAATCTTATATATGGCAAAACAATGTTTGCCGGGTCAGCTAGTAAAATAATAAAATTATATTTCAATTATGAAATGTAATGGTAGATGAATTATATACAAGAAGTTATATAGGAATGGCTACAAGAGAAGCTTCAGTTTGAAGTAAAACAAAAATATCTTAGCAGTCCTATGCAGGTTCATAACAGACCCTACAAGAAGTACTCAAACTAAGAGTCAAGATGACAATTAGATAGGTATAGGTACTATAGATGTTATATTTTATGACCCTGCCATTGTAGAGGGTTGATGGGAAATATAGAAATTTGAGAAGGTCTATTGTATTTTTAGATTAATGGTTATAATAAAACAGTCCCTAAGCTATCAATCAAAACATTGTAATAGGTTCGTGTTAATCTTTGAGACCAGTAAAGTGAAATACATTTGTAAATATACCTTTCCGATCAGGATATAATTCGACAAGCATTTTACTCCTGTAGTGCCATGCTGAATAATTTGAAAAATTATCCATTAGTTTCTCTGTGGTGTAATCAAATTCATCTTTTAGAGATGGTTTGCACTGACTCACAACAAATCTTCTGTAATCCCATGTGTGAACTGTAAACAAACACAATAAATTTCTATGAATTATTTTGTTTTATTTCATAACAGTACTTTTTGGTTTTAATTTTTGCATGAATTGAATGAATGTTAGTGCAGTTTTTATGTTATAAAATTTAGTTAACTAGTTCGTTTTTTAACGAATAATAGATTTCAAAATTCACCTGACAAATTTTTAAGGTGAGAATTAAATACCTTTCAAATAAAAATTAGTGATTTTGTCTGTTCTATAACAATGATAAAAAAGTATTTTAGGTACCAATCAACACCTACTTAGCTTAAAAAAAAATTAATGCATAATTCAATGATACAGGATTCACCTTGTATTCACCTAAGCAATCCTCATGACTTAAATCCATTTATAATCTCTGTCCAGTATCTACTATTTTCATAATCTATTTGTAGTTAAGTTATCATAAAGAAAATAAGTGCATCCTAACAGTTTCTATGAGATAATTTTTAACTGCTGACTTACTATTGGACTATGACTGGTCTGTCTGGTGTTAAGCAATTTTATTATTTATTAATTTGATTTAGTCCATAGAAACCAGAATGTAAAAGTAATGCACTTTCTACTGCTTCAAACATATTTTTGCCTCTGTTCCAAAAAATAACAATAGGTGCATATGAATCGGAATCGGCGAATTCAATGCCTTATGTTTTATTTTTATACTTGTTTCATCATCATCATCATGCTTTCCTATTACCCTCTGCTGGGGTGTGGGGTTTTTATACTTGTTTAATTAATCTGAAATTGTATATACTTATACACCCTTTACAATGACACATAATGGAGTTAAAAAATATCTTGGGTATTCACTAGCTCTTTTTTCTTTCAAACATCATAATTTTTTTTTATTTTTACTATAAGTGGAATTCCTATTTATAAAAACAAATGTTTATTATTATTATTTAATGACATTATTTGTATTCTTGTTTCTATTATTATTATAATATTACTTGAGAAATTTAATATAATACATTCAGTTCATTTCTCATATCTATCTTAATTTAACCAAATTTCCAAACACTGTTGTTACACTTCAGAACTTAATATTAAAATGATAGCTTTGTGACCAGACTTACAATTCCTTTCATCTAACTTCAGGTAGGTATTGCATAGTTCCAGTTCTTTTTGCCAGTCAGGATCATCACGAGTCAGAAGCACCCACTCTCTTTGGTGCCAGGCACAATATGACTTTGGGTTTATTTTTAGGCAATATTCAGTTAGATGCAATTCTGCATTGTACACCTGTGACATTTCTTCAATATTATCATTGCTTTTTCTGAAAATTATGAATAATTTTATTTACTCTTCTAAATTGTGTAAAATACAGAAGAAAATGAGAAAATTAATTTTTTTGTTCTCAATTCCTACATCAAATTTAAAAAAAAATATTTTGTAATTAAAATTGTGATAAAACCAGTGAACCATAACTTACTTAAATAATTGTAAAATTTCTCTCCTTATATTCCATAAAGTGTAAATGTCAGGATTAGAAGATAACACATTTCCTGCCAGTTCCAGTAATTCTTTATCAAGAGTGCATTCTTTCCTCTAAAAATATATCAATATATTTTCAAGTTATTATTTGGGTTTAGATTATGAAACACAGTTGCCTTAAAGCTGATCAGTATGGTGATCAGTGCTTTGGTTACTGCTAGCGTTACTAATAGTAATTGACATGTTAATTTAGGATTAATTTGATGCTTGATTAATATTAAGTAAAACTTATACCTTGATTTGAATTTTTTGCATGGCATGTTTGAAAATCTTCAATTTTTCATTTCTCTCTTTCTCTTTCCTGGCTTTCTCTTCCTCAGAAGTTCTGACTTTCACTCTCCCGTGCTATAAAGGTTAAAGATAAATAAAAGATTTGGTTTCTTCTTTTTACAAGATTAAAAGATTAAGGTCGTGTATAATTTAGACTATTAAACATTAAAGATTACCATCTCTGCTTAGTTGAATTTTAAGACGATAAAATTTAAACGGAGTGGTTCTCTGTATATATTTGTTCAGTTATAGGTACAAAATAGATTTCTGAGTTTTTTTGGGACTTTAATTTATTTTAAAAGAACGCCAACAAAAGTTTTTCAAGATAGTTTTTACAAATTAGTCATCGGATTATAAAATAACAATGCTTAATTATTTTTCTCTAATATGTTGTTAATTGTTACTGATACAAAAGCCAAATTTCATTATGTATGTTTAGTTGTTTGGTTTATAAACTTTTCTATTTGATATTATAAAGCAATATACACAATTAATTCATGTGTCTAATTTAACAATTCTTTGATATAGACCATAGATATTTTTTTTGGTACAATTTTTCCTTATTGGGGAAGGCAAAGGGATCTAAGCCCATACAGTCTGGTCTGTTCTATATAATTTCTGAAATAAATTTTCAAAAAGGCCCAAGCCGGGTTTTATATGATTTATATTATAAAGGCTGATGATGAAGGCATTTCGTTGAATTTAGTCGACTGAATTCAGAAGCAAATTTAGAAGTTTCTGATTACACTGTTCTAAATTCAGTTACCGAATCAATTGTCAGCTTAAACGCGACGAAGTAAGACGTGTCGTGCGCGTAATGCCGGCCACTGACATGCGCGCAAATATTCGTACATTGTACGAATGTTTGCGCGCATGTGAAGGGCCGTCAAAAATTCATTCGCAAACCTAGCGGCTGTGCAAATGGGTTCGCATACTCAATTTGCGAACTCGTTTGCGCTTCCTCCTACACTTGTTTACGAATGTCTCACGAATTTCTTCTCCTTTTTAATTCGTCAATAGAACATTGAAAAGAAAAAGATTTTTGAATTCTTTCCCAGACATCATTAACAGCCATGCTGTTTTTATGGGATTTCTTTTGATGAAGATACGCTACACAGTAGACGTCATGAACTATGAAAATGGCGATACGTCCGTTACCTTCGCAATCGTCGGTGCAACTGCGCAAGCGAATGTGTGGGAGACTACGCGAAGGTTCGAGGTTCGCACGCTTTGATGTCTGTTAAAAAACCGACATAGCTTGGAAAACCACGAATGCAGCGAAAACTTTGCATAATCATTCGCAAATGTCGTCCTACACTTGCGGGTTTGCGTATTCGTGCGCATGTGAGTGACCGGTGTAAGAGGATGGCCCCAGTATTGTCTAGACAACAACAAAAATGTTGTTTTTTTTGTTTTTGTTTTAATTTCTCAAACTAAAAAAAATAAAAACAAGAATACCGGTGAAGAAATATTTATTGCTGTGCGCAATGTTAGCAAATATGAACTAGACCTTTGGCCAAAATGTCATTTCTATGTCTAGATCAGTGCTACCAGATTAAATATACAAAACACCGTGCTGCCAGATAAAAAATACCGTGTTTCAGACTCAAATTACCGTGAATTACGACCACCACCCTGGCTATTTCTGCCGTGAAGCAGTAATGCGTTTTGGTTCGAACTTTTGAAGGGTGGGGCCGCCGTTGTGACTAAACTGAGACCTCAGAACTGAAGGGTGTGGAGATGCTCAGACGAGAGAAAACAAACCTTTTATTAATATATATTATTTATTTAACTGGACATTACTGGTTTTACTGTTTTTACAATTTTCTTAGAGACCATAGTGTTATGACGCTACTCTTCTATATCCTTTTTTATACTAGTGTCGTGCTACAGCGCACACTTCTTAATAGGGATGTACCCACTAACACCTTCTCCTATTATTAAAATTGTTTACAATTTAAATAATACTTGTTATTCTATGCTATCAAATTTTAAATTATACAAATTTTAAGTAGATGTTTCTTAAGTTATATACATATATCATGAACTTATTTAGTTGACAATATTTTGAGCGTGAAAATTAAATTTATTATTTAACAATGGTTTTGTAAATATGTCTGCAGTCTGTTTATCAGTAGGACAATATTTAATATTAATTTTACCCTTTTTATAATTTTCATGAATAAAATAGTATCTCACATCAATGTGTTTGGATCT